GTCCATCGCGATCCCATGAATCGCAAAGCAACAAGAGACTACAGAATAGGGAGACCCAGAAACGAGCTGAGAGGGCGATCGAACTTGAGTCTTGCTCCAGACATAGATCACAGTCATCAACGTCTCCATTTACCGATCTCTCAATGAGGGTCTCTCTCACGGACTCGTCTTTCGCACAAATGAAACCCTCAATATTTATACCGATGGGAGCTTCTCCCTAGCGTTCTTTAGGAACGGCTCCTCCATTGTATGACATACGTCTCCGGAACGGTATTTATTAGCACGCATTCTTCCGTTTTCGAAAGAGCCGTTCTTTCGTTGTCGCGTACATCGGCGGGAGACGTCTAACGGAGACAACTCAGACGACAATGTTTACCGACAGAAGAAATAGAACGCGAAGTCAGAGCGGCGCAGCAGGCAGTGAGAGGGGAGGTTCAAGAAAAGTGTCTGTAGAAGAGCAGACCGCGGAGATGGCGCGCCGATCACCGATGTTGACATCACCGTAGGAGAGGAGGTTCCGCAGGCGTACCGAACACGACTCCTCGCCTTGGTGAACAAGTATCGAGATGTCGTGGCGACGTCGATGAGAGAATTGGGGAGAACAGAATTGACCGAATTCGATATTGAGGAGATTAAGGATAGCCAGCCCGTGAGAGCGAAACCATATATGTAGGATGTCGGTAGTAGAGAGGCAAGCCTTACAGGAGATCATTCAGCAGATGCAGGAGGCAGGCATGATCAGCAGATCAAACTCAGCGTATGCTAGTCCAGTACTCTTAGTCAAAAAGGCGGACGGTGGATGGCGAATGGTCACCGATTATCGCAGGCTGAATGCGCAGACAGTGAAGCAAAACTATCCATTGCCATTAATCGACGATACCCTTGACGAGGTCGGAGGGAGTTTATACTCAACCTTCGATTTGGCGTGGGGCTTTCAAATTCCCATGGGGAAAAGAGCCGCGGAGAAGGCAGCTTTTGTCACATCCGAGGGACATTACGAACCTCGAGTGATGATGATGGGGCTATGTAATGCACCAGCGAAATTCCAGGAACTGATGGTTAGGGTTGAAGAAATGCTAGGCGGAAGGCAAACGTTTCCTTTTCTGGACGATATGATCACAGCATCGGATAAGATGGATGATCATCTCAGGCAAATCGAGGGAATCTTAGGGGCATTGAAACAAGCAGGCCTCACAGTCAGGCTCCAGAAATGCAAATTCTTCATGAAGTCAGTACAGTTTTCAGGGTTCAAAATTTCCAAGGAGGGAGTACAGCCTGGGACTGGGAAATTAGAGGCGGTAGAGAAATTTAGATACCAAAGGATGTCCATGAAGTAAGGAGGTTCTTAGGACTGACATCATTCTTCAGGAGATTTGTTCGCGGTTATGCGACTATCTCGAGTCCATTGACGACTCTATTAAAGAAGGGGAGTAAATTCGAGTGGAACGAACAGCGCGAGAAGGCGTTCAACAGGCTAAAGGCAACGTTGAGAGTAGGCCCAGTCTTGGACAGGTTCGTCTCAGGCAGAGCGACGGAACTGCACACCGACGCTAGTACGGTAGGACTCGGAGCGATACTGTTGCAGGAAACAAAAGGAGCGTGGAAAATGATCTATGCGATCAGTCGAAAATTGTCGGCGACAGAACAAAACTATCATTCAACGAAACTTGAGCAGCTAGAGGTCGGGTGGGGGCTTGAGAGACTGAGACATTACTTGTATGGCCAAGAATTCGTAGTGGTGTCGGATTGTAGCGCAGTCGCCGCGTTGAGATCAAAAGCGAATACGCCACAGTTAGGTCGCTGGCTCAATAGAATTTCGGAGTTCAATTTCACGGTCAGGCATAGAGCAGGCACGGCTATGAGCCACGTAGTTGCGCTCAGTCGAGATCCGGTAGGAGACAGTGGGGAGACGGAAGAAGATATCTATCCGACGGATTCGATTAGGAAGATCGTTCATCGGGAATTGGAGTCAGGCAATGAATATCGGATGTTACAGTCGAGCGACGAGAGTATTCGGGAGAGAATAAAGCTCCTCGAGTGGCCGTCCGGGGGGGCTGAACGTGCATGTGCAAGCTCGGGCACGCCGAGTCGACGCGCTATCAGTTGCACAGCGAGCGCTTCAGGCGCATGAGCGTTCAGCGCGTCTCCGGGAACGAGGGAGATTGTCAAACCATAAGATTCAAGTTTTCATTGGTTTTGTCCCGGGAGAGAGTGCATCATATGGTGGCAGCGGAAAACTGAGGATCGTCGGAAGCAGTACCAGTTTCAGACGAGATTCCAGATCGTTCGGTGGTCGAGAACGACTTCGGATAGCGTCGAACCTACAGAGGACGATCGAAGAGCGTTTCCCAGAAGAAATACGGTACCTACGAAAAGGGGGGGGGAAAAAAAAGCCAAGATTCCCAGAAAGGGATCCAGATCCATCAAGTGGTTGTTGCGGGAGTTTGGGGCTCCAAATTTGCAACTCGCGAGAACGTAGTGTCCTTCCAGGGGAAGGCATTCAGTGCGGCGGTGAAGAAAGGGATCGGAGCGCAATATGCCGGACAAGGTGGAGCTCGGTAACGAGGGCAAGGCAGAAAGCGAGCCAGAGAAGCGGCTGGATGACACAAAGGAAATTGTCGGGAAGAAGAGCACTGCAGGCGAGCGCGATGAGCTAAACGCGAAGGTTGCGTTCAGACGCACGCTCAGAGATCGCCTGACAAAGAAAATCTTCGAGCTCGAGGAAGCGTTGCGGAATGCGACGGCGTCCGACAGTGATAAATCCAGAATATGGGGAGTGCCTGAGTCAACGTACGATGAAATCAAAGCGTTGAATCTCGCAGTTATGCCACCCCTATGCAGGCTGTCGCCCGAACAGTACGAAGACGCGATAGGAAGAGTGTTCTCCTACCAGGAAGAATTCTTCCGGATCAAGGACGCGTACGAGATAACGTGCCGTCCAGCGGTTCAGCAGTCCAGCTGCGGAGCTCCGGGAACGAGTAGCCAAGGGTTGGCACTCGACAGGAAATACCGACTTGCGAAATTTAGTGGGGACTTCAAGAGATACAGAGAGTGGAATCAGCTGTTCGACGTTCATGTGCACCGCAAGCGGATCGATCCAGTCGAGAAATTCACGCTTCTGAAAGAAGCTCTCGTAGGTCTCCCGGCGTCGGAGATAGCACAACTCGAGTTCACCGCATCACAGTATCCGGAGGCCATCGCAATTCTCGAGAAGAAATTCGGATGCCCCCGGGAGGCTGAGAAGGATCACGTCTTCGAGATACAGAGGTTGTACAAGTGGAGGGACCTGCATCTGAACGATAAGTTTTCGCGGTTTGTATCTCAAAACGTCAAGGCCCTAATCTCGTTAGGAAAAACGTATGAGTCACTCTCGGCGACGGTTGCTCCAGGCATACTCGCGTGCTTACCGAGCACGATGAGAGAAGACTTCACTAGATCGCTTTTTGGGGTATTGCAACGCCCTGACGCTTCGAGTAGCGAGCTAAAAACACTCCTAGTGTACTTAGAGAGAGAGGTAGCCGTAAAGCGAGCATGCCGGTTCCCGGGTAGCGACTCAGTTGCCGGACCGTCGCAACCTCGCAGGGATGTCAGCCGTAGAAAGCATGATAGATCCGAGCGAGAGCCCGTAGGAGGCAGCCGAGCATTCTTCGCCAAGAGCAATCGTTCAGAGGTGGCTCATACCTGCGTTTTTTGCGGCAGTTCTAAGCACCAATCTAGGGCTTGCGAAAAAAAATTAACGTACGACGAAAGGAAGGCTCGCTGCGAAGAGTGCAAGGCTTGCTTCAAATGTCTTGGCAGAAACCACAATGCTAGAAGATGTAGAGTATCTGTGAAGTGCGAGAGGTGCGGGCGAGGTCATTACGAGATTCTGTGTGGTCAGCAGAAGCCGGAGCAGAATTCGGATCAGAAGTCGGAAAATGGTACGGGAAAAAACACGGGTTCGTTCTCAACTCAGACCAACCGAGCGCGGGGTAGCAAGAACGACAAGGGACCAATATTCTTCCAGACGGGTCTCGCGTGGGTCAACGCGCCGACAGGTAGAAAAGTCTTCAGGTTCTTCATCGATAACGGGTCAGAACGTTCGTATGTCTCAGAGCACGTGATCCAGTCACTCAAATTGAAATCGGTTCAGCAGGAGTGCCTCGCAATGATCACGATAGGCGGCGAAGTCTCGAGTTACAAAAAATACGACGTTTTCGACATAGGGCTTCAGAGTCGGTTCGACGACAAGGCGGCGATCAGGCTCCAGGCAACGGGCATTCCGGAGCTAGCTGAAGGGGATTTCCCAGTCGCGAGCGAGTCGTTTGGTATGTCTCCCATGGCAGACATCGGAGAGAACGTGAGGAGGCGCGAAATCGATATCCTCTATCCCCTCTATGGTCGTTAGCATGCTAGCGACGACGGGCAGGGAGAAGCGTGACTCGTCCAGCGAGTCGGATTCCAGCTCTGGAAAGGAGAGCGATGATAAACTCAACGCGGATTTGGAAAAAGCTGTGGTCGTCGGAGCTCCGCGGCATCGAGGCTCCGGAAGCGCCGTCCCGCGGCGAATCGGAGAGCGCGTTAAGTGAATTTTTCGAGAACAACATCCAGCGGCTGGAGAGCGGTCGATATAGGGTCAGCTTGCCGTTCAAGGATAATTTGAGGTCTCTCGGAGATAATGAGAACATAGCGCGAGGGTGTCTCAAACGGTTCCTCGAAAAGAATAGAGATAAAAAAGAAGTTATTGAAGCGGTAGATAAGGAGATGGGAAAATATCTGAAGAGCGGGTATGCGGAACCAGCGGCACCGAGGAAACCCAACGAATTGGTTCATTATTAGCCGATCCTTCCGGTCATCAAGCGGAGTTCAACTCAGAGCGCACCCTCAGAGCGCAAGGTGCGAGTGGTAAAAGATGCTGGAGCGAGGCGGAGGGACGAAGCGGCATTGAATTATGTCCTGCATGGCGGAGCAAATTTACTGCCGGATGTCATCAGAGTTTTGCTTCGGTTCCGGCATGATGAGATAGCCATCATATGCGACATAGAGGCGGCTTTCCATCAGCATCAGATTCAACCCGATCATCGAACGTTTCTTAGATATTTCTGGCCTACGGGCATAAGCGAAAATCCGAATGCTCCGATCAAGGAGTACTTGAGCACGGTTCTCGACTTCGGGATAATTTCGAGCCCATTCATACATTGCGCAGGAATCAAGTTCCATCTCGAGCAGCTCATGAGAGAGCATCCCAACAGGAAAAAAATCCTAGAGGATATCGACCGTAATTTCTACATGGATGATCTGTTTTTTCGGAGAGGTAGGCGAGCGACGGATTCGAGAGTTTCGATTTCTTGTTTCGAGCGTTCAGCGCCGGAGGCTTCAGGCTTCGAAAATGGGCAACGAATAGCTCAGAATTAGGTCTCAAAATGCGGGAATCGCTTAACGATCCTGAGATTCAGATAACATCCGACCAGACCGAAGCGAAGTACCTCGGCCTTTGCTGGAATTTGCATTCGGACGAGTTGTCAATTTCCGTAGCAGCAGCGACAGAGACACTGAGGACCGGAGAACCGACGAGGCGAACCTTATCGAAGAGCACAGCCAAGATTTTCGATCCACTAGGTTTTATTACACCCGTCTCAATCAAGCCGAAGTCACTGCTACAGTAACTTTGGAAACAGAAGGTCGGTTGGGATGCGAAACTCACGGGTGCAAACTTGGAACAGTACTTCGAAATCAGAAAAACGTTCGAACGGGCTCGAGATTTTCGTCTGCGTATAAGCGAAACTCACGGGTGCAAACTTGGAACAGTACTTCGAAATCAGAAAAACGTTCGAACGGGCTCGAGATTTTCGTCTGCGTATAAGCACGAAAACGGAAGCCTACGGAAGGGATATACATATTATTCTTTTTGTTTGCGCGGCTTCCAAAGCGGTTCATCTGGAACTAGACATCGAAAGCGCGTTGGCCACTATGTCGGGTTCTCAGTCTTTCTGGCGGGGAGAGAACGGGTCGTAAGCAACGATCCTGCCTCATCAGAACGGCTTCAGGCCAGGTCATTCAGAGACCGATTCATTGGCTTTACCAACTCGAAGTCTAATTTATTTAGGAACAATGAGAACGGCGGATGCAGAGAAAAGAGAAAAAAATAGTGATTTCCGTAGTTGCGATCCAGTCGAGATTCTCCAGGAGGTAGGGCCGAACAAGAATTCTCGCATATCCATTTCTCACACATTCAAATGTCCAGCGCTTGAGCGAATGTATGTATTCTAGGTAGCGCACACGGCTAGCCAAGAGAAATGTAAGCCGGAGAATTCGGCGGGACCGTGACGCATA